TTTTAACAGGAGGAAACATCCAGCAGATCCAGGCTCAGTGTGTCAGAGGATGAAGAGAGCACATCCAGCCAGTCACAGTCAGAGAAACAGGACTACACTGGAAAACAGGCCGATCTCCAACATCTATAAACAAAGGTGTTAATGGCAGCAGCACAGCTGATATTTCTCTCCAGGATGGAGTCACAGCCAAACAGGAACAAAAATACGAGGCAAAGCTACTATGAGAAAAAGCAGAGAGAACCTAATGTTAGAGATTGAACTAATAGATTATGCAGAGTGGGAGAATGGAGATAGAATGAAGCAGAATGATGAAAAAAAAAAAATCTTTTTTTTTTTTTACTAGTGCGAATGAAGCATGGAGGAAATGTTTGTCCTTTTCAGTTTGCTTGCCTCAGGAGAAATAAATTAAGAAAACTGAAGGAGTTTACCTGGAACATTTTTCTTTTTCCTGTGTAAATTACTTGTCCATGGTGCATCTGTGGCCTTTGTGGACCTTTTTTGTGTCATCAAAGCTGGGCCACAACAGAGCAATATGGGCAACTTAATACGACTGTTAGGGGTTCGTAGAAAAAACTAAATATTTACTGCAGATTAACTAATTCTTTGTGTTGTTTATTTTAGAATTTAGAGAAATTTCCAAAAGCCTGACAAGAGGCTTTTTGCCTAATATAAACTCTTCTTTAAAAGGAAAAATGCAAAACTAATAACAAAACTATGTTTAGTACTTGTAATCTTTTGGAATTTGTGCGTAATATTTCTCTAGACTTTCTAAGGATCTTTGAAAGTTTTTGTTTTTCCACTTATTTTCAATCCAGAACTATCACTGGTCATTGTGTGCAGTATTGACTGAAATCAGGAAAATAAAGGACGAATAGAATAAGCTACCCTGCCTAAAAATTGCCTGAGCAGATTCTAAGTAATCAGGGTCTAGAAAACCACATTTAAGCCTATTTGTGCTGTTACTTAAGAAAAAATTTGCCCATTAGCAGAATCTAAGGTTAGAACTGGGTCTACTTATGCTATTGATCTAGCTACTTATTCCATAATTTTTGCTCATTTATCATTCAGAATCCCCTTGCTCTAAAATACAAATCTCTGCACTCTCCTTGACAGGGTTAATAAATGCATGTAGCAAACCGAAAAAATAAAATCATAGTTTCAATCTTCATGTGTACAATAAATGTCAGTGTTTTTCGTCAATTTTAATCTTTGACATCTCTTATGACGTCTTAATTAAGGCAAATACATGCCTGTTATACAATCAAAGCTGATGAAAAACAGTTATTGTTTAAGAAATGTAAAGTTATTATTTAATGAACAGTGAAAAAAATTGTAACATTTATTTATAACGTATTCATGTCACAAACACACCCAGCTTAGCCCAGTTCCCTAATTGACTCTTTGCTTTCAGATGCAAATTGTGAAAAATGTCTTTTATTTTTTTATTTTTTTACTGATAACAGAGAGATGTAAGTTTATTGTATTAAAAGCTTGGTTTTTCTAATCCAAACTTTAGATTAGTGACATAATCAAATGCAAAAAATTAAAAATATTTAAAAAAATGAAACTGTTCTCACACTGTTGAATTGTTTCTTTAGAAAAATAAATATCCATACACTGTTGCAAATGAAAAACTGCATTAATGCGAGTTGAATATGTCTTTAATGGGAATTGATTGACGGACCCTGAACGCATCGCGTGAGGCGGAAGTAGACCAGGCTTCCACATCGAGGCATCGCGGGCGAAAAAACCATAAACAGAAAAAATAACTCTCCTGCTGAAGATCCAAACCCGGTTCGGTGTCAGAATGGGTCCCCTAACATTTCTTGTCCTTTGTGGGACAATCTTCACCGTGAAAAGCGGTAATTTCTCTTGTATTTTTTACATTATGACGCTTTTTTTGAAAGTGAAAGTAAAAAATAACTGACGTGACGTCGTTAAAAATAATTCCTCTCAAGTAATGTTTTTTGTGCTATTTACCGAGTAACGCGGAATGTTTAATCATATTAGTCGAAGTCCAGTTGTTGTGTACCGATTAGGAGTAAAATAATCCGTTACTTGGAACTTGTACCGTGAACGCGGCCTGCTAATGAGCACCAGGTGTTCGGCCCGTCCTTTTATACTTTATGCTCAAACACGCCTTTCCTCCTTGACCAAAGATTAACAAGTTATTGCTGCAACTGTGACTAACTACTCAGATCAGCCATAACCTATAAATCAAATGTGCTTGATAAAAGAAACGACTAGCATTTCATCTAACGTTTCAAACAGCCGAGAATAACGGCTCCATTTTGAAGCTGAAAGCAGAGACAACAAAATAATTTACTGTTGTCTCAATAAACAAGCACAGTCAGAAGACTGTGCTTGTTTATTGAGACATACCCCCTGGCATATTTGTTTATTTGTATATTTTATACATTATTTTTGACTTTATGTGGAAAAAAAGAGATATAAAAATCACACATAGATAATAAATTAAAGTGGAATAATGGGAGCCTGTGAAAAGTTCATCCAAAATTCCTAAAGAAGTTGTTTTTCAGCCCCTGCCACAAAAAACACCTAATAGTATCTGATAAATGATCTATTATAATTATTTAAACTTGTAATAATTATTTAATTACCTCCAAACGACTTAAGTATTTCTCTTTTAAAAGAAAGAATTTTGACTTGGAACTCAAATGCATCAAGTTTGCATTCTTAGTTTTAAATTTTGCATAAAATATAGTGTAGTGGTGATTGTTTGCCATCCAATTAAAGTTCCAATTAAGCCACTACTAAGGCACTGGGGTCAAGTTTCTATATGCAGGCAAAAAGAAATGTCAATGTCTAGTCTTGATGATGGTTCTGGATGTTTGTTTTCTATTTTTGCCAACAATTAAAGAGTACAAACTTTTTTTTTGTCCTGCCTCTCATCACTTCCTGTCATACCTCAGAACAAAACTCTGCATATAATACAAAAATATACATTTAGGAAATAACACAATGGAAATGGATAAAGACATAAAGAATAAATATCTCCAACATATAGAAAAAAAAACCCTCAATATTATCCTGGAGATCGTGTTGATTTCTTTTATTTAACTTAAGGTGATTCCAAGTTGTTTTATCAAGCTGTCAGTAATAAGTCCCAGCTCTTTTTACAATATTCCTAATCCGTCCTCAATAGTGGTTAAAAAATCTTTTCTTACCCCCAATTATTGCTTTTCTCTTGGTTTATTAGCATTTCTGTGGGGATGGTGCTTTCTCTGCTAACATCTTCAACCTGCAAATGGTTGAATGTAATAAGCTTCCTTATTATGTCAACAGCAATGCAAAAACAAATATAGTTCTTCAAGTTTTTAGGCCCAAGAAATGGATCATTGTAACGTTTTGCCTTGTCTTTTACTAACTGACATTTTTGCTATTTTAACCTTTTAAGATTTTATTCAATTTGGCTTTAAGATTAAAGTGTTAAAAGAACATTTCCATTTACAATTGATGAGTTGATTAAGGTTGCAACTAGCAATTATTTTAAAAATGGAATCAATTAATAATTGGATAGCAAAAGTTTCTTTAAAGAAGGTTTTTCACTAAATTAAACAGGTGATACTCAAACGATTCCACTTGAGAAGTTCTGGATAGAGCATAGTGACAGACGCATGTTTTTCTATCTTAAATGCAAAATTTCGTATATATTTTTTTACAATCTTGATATAAATACTGCTCTAAGTTGGTCGCCCTGTCAGCTAAAGCCATGTTTAGAGTCTCTATACTCCAGTTAACGATAAATCGATTACTAAACTAGTTGACGAATGTTTCAATAATCGATTAAGCCCTAGAGTTTATAAACTCTTGGTAATATATAACCTTTCAAAAAGTTATTGCCTTAAAATTCAAAGTGGTTATTTGTAATTAACATTAAACAGATAAATATACTTTTAAGGGGACATGTTATCTAATTTATCAAAACATCCTTATAGGTTAAGACAGTCAATACTCTGAATAACACGACAGTGAGGGGTTAATTTATAAAAACATGTTCTAGAACGTAGCAAGAAACCAGGTAAGCTAGACAGACAACATTGCATAGATATTTTGGACATTAGGTGTGCCGTCATGACCGTGAAACTTCCTTACAAGAACTACAGAAAGAGAAAAACCAAAATGTCTTATCGTCATGTTTTATATTATAATAAACATAACTATTCCATACGTAGAAAGTTTGTTGTATAATCTTTCTGAATCATTTTTGTCCATATATCATCCACATACTTGTAGTTTACAGCAAACATGTACATAGCCTGTGAACAAATAGTTGGAGTCTTAATGGTCTGAGCAGACATGCACCATTTTTCAATTAGCAAAACATAATAATCTTAAGTAAATGTGATTTAGTTTTACAGTATACTCAAAGTTTTAAGGTAATTATGTTTAATATGACTTGAATAGCTACGGGTTCTATTCCCGGCGCGGCTCTTTCAGCATGGAGTTTGCATGTTCTCCCTGAGCATTTGTGGGTTCTCTCCGGATACTCCAGCTTCCTCCCACAGTCAAAAAACATGACTGTTAGGTTAATTGGCTTCTCTAAATTTATGTGAGTATGAATGGTTGTTTGTCCTCTTTGTCTCTGTGATGCCCTGCGATGTACTGAAGACCTGTCCAGGTGCCCGCCTCTCATCCGTAGACAGCTTGAGATAGGTACCAGCACTCCTCGTGACCCTGCTTCAGATAAGCATATCAGAAAATGGATGGATGATCTACTTACTTTTAATCAAAGTATCAGTTATACCTGCGGTTTTTGTGTTATGTAACATATTTCTCATTTTATATTTTTTTTATTACCATTTTTATACATAGATTAGTGGCTACCTTCAAGTAAATGTTGACTAATGTTGTACCCGCTCTTAATAGAACAATCCAAGCTAATATTTATGCTGCTGATAAGGCTAACAGGTGTTAGCTGGCTTTTTAACTGCCATGCTTCGCTACAAATGCTAACTGCAGTTTTAAAATGGTGTCATACACATTTGTTGGCGTTTAAAGGCATAATGCTTAGCACTCCTAGTTTTTATGCCATGACTGACTTCATTCCCAAACAACCGTGTTTGTTTACCATGGGAGAGGGAATTATAGGAGGATTTTTGTAATGTAACCAACCAGCAGTTTAGGAACACATTGGGGAAGGACAACCTCTACAACCCTCCAAAAAAGTAAAAAAAACAATCGACTGGCCTTCGTTTCTAAGTTTGAAGATGTTTCGCTTCCCATCCAGGAAGCTTTTTCAATTCAAAATGTCAGATCAATCGTTGAGTTCAGGCTTTATAGAGTGGATCAAAACAAAGCCTTGTTAGAAAGCATGCAAATTATGCAAATTATACCGAATGAATGGTTCCCCACCATTGGAATGGGAAGTCGTTTGGTTCTTTGTTGGCCTGCAATACCCCATACCTGTCTATGTTTGCTGTTTTTATTTTATTTTTTTGCTTTTCTGGGATGACGGAGACTCTTCACCAGCATATAACCTACAACCTTCAACCTCTCTGTATCATACAGACCAATAAACATCCAGTTATTCTTTGATTTTATTTAAGGCTTCACTAAAAAGGATTTTACCCTGCAGTGTTGATGGATATAAAAGTTTGCTGTCTTTTATATCAATAGCTGTCCAATGTAGAGTTCTTTGACCAAGATAAAAGCTGGTCAAAGAAAAAGCTATATAAGCGGAGAAAAAGTTGTATAAACCAAAATTCGCTTTGTATACACTCAGTATAAAAAATGACAATAAAGTTTGCCTAAGTCTAAGATACCTAAATGTTGAGGAGGTGCTCTATGAAAGATTATGTCGAAGCTTAGAGAAATGGCAAGAGTTCTTTCGACCAAAGATTTTAAGCCTAAATGTTATCATATCTTATTCAAAAATAATTTCCCACCCTTATTTTTCTGTCTCATATCTTCCAGAATTGCACTCCCTCACTTACATCTACACGGCCTTCTCCAAACCTGTCGCTCTCCCGGGGCTGCATGAGTTCACCGCTATGGGTTTGCTGGATAACCGAATGATTGATTACTATGACAGCGAACACCAAAAGAAGGTTCCCAAACAGCCATGGATGGAAGAACACCTTGAAAAAGAGTACTGGGACAAAGGCACCCAGTCCAGAAAGAGCAAGGAGCAATGGTTCAAGGTCAACATCGACATTTTGATGAAACGAATGAGACAGAATGACACCGGTAAGATCTGAGGAGTTTAAAGTATTTATAATCAATGATAAAAATCATAAAACTTATTGTAAATAAATGACTTATCCAAACACTATTACTCTTACTAGAATTTTTTTTTAGTTAATTTCCTTACTCTAATTTTGAGTGAAAATGCCCTTCTTCCATATTATTTAGATTTTCATGTGTTGTTTTCCAACAGATACCCATATTCTTCAGTGGATGCACGGCTGTGTGGGTGAAACTCAGCCCGACGGCTCTCTGAAGTTTGTCAACGGGATGGACATGTACAATTATGATGGAAAGGACTTTCTGTCCTTCGATGATGACAAACAGGTTTGGGTTGCTCCAATTACAGCAGCATTGGAAACCAAGAGGAAGTGGGATGATGTCCAGGTCCTGAAGGAATACACCAAGGGCTACTTGGAGAAGGAGTGTATGGAGTGGATGAGCAAGTTCAGAGACTATGGGAAAGAACAGCTTGAAAACGCCAGTATGTATATTATAAAACATGCATTTATATACGTATGATTGTCCTCTTCAACATACCTTTAAAAATGTCAAAGATAGAGGGATCTTTGGTATTAAATTAAAACATATGTCTAGATATCATAGTTTACATTTAAAGTAAACAGGTGTGAAAGATAGGGTAAGGATTAATCAAAGAAATATAATTGTTTCCTTAATAGATGACTAACTTTAAAATATAGGTCAACATATAAAATGGAGAAAAGTTAAATTGTATGATGGTTGATTTGCCTCCCTGCTGATCCATATTTTATTGTCTGTTTTAAGCAAAACCCACAGTGCACATGTTCACACGAAAGGCCAAAACTGAATCAAACATCATCTTGACCTGTCTGGCCACCGGCTTCTACCCTAAAGACATCATTATGAATATCAGAAGAAATGGGCGTGTCCTGAACAAGGATGACGGGCTGCAGACATCCGGGGTTCTTCCAAACGATGACGACACCTTTCAGCAAAAACTCCATGTAGAGATTCTGAAGTCTGATGTTTCCACCTACACCTGTGAGGTCAACCATCCTGCTTCTCACTGGGATGTTGAAGAGAAATGGGGTAAGATACCTTTTAGATGCACTTCTAGACCTGATTTTGTATTTAAATGGTAAATGGCCTGTACTTATATAGCGTTTTTTCAAGTCAGGAGACTTGACCAAAGCGCTTTACACTACATTCAGTCATTCACACGAGGCTGGCATACACTGGCGCCACCGGGCCCTCTGACCACCATCAGTAGACAATGCAGGTGAAGTGTCTTGCCCAAGAACACAACGACACTGAAAGTCAGAGCCGGGGCTTGAACCGTCAATCCTTTTCCATTTCAGGGCAAACCCCTACATCCGACACCACTGTTAAAATCAATGCTGTTGTTGGGTTGACCAAGATCAGTTCTCCAAATTCAACATCCAGTATACTAAATGTCTTCCCATTGTTCTGATAGCCTCTAGTTGGCAAAAAAATGTCCTTATACATATCACAAAAAAAAAAAAAAACATTAGTAGATTAACACTAAGGATAAGGCTTGTTTAACATACTTGCCATGAATTTTATTAAACACATTGCTGAGGGTCTGAAATATTTTGCTTCACATAAACAGAGGTTTCTCTTTACGCTAATAATGTTGATTAATAACAAAACTAGGAAAAAATCACTGACATTTTAAGCGTGACAGAAAATGGAGGGATGGATAGAGCTGCACCATAGAAAACACATATCAGTCACTATAGGACTGTATGTAGTCTTCATATTTCAAGTAATTGCTCAAACTGAATTAATAGAACAGAATAGAATTCAACTTTATTGTCATCACACTGTCACAAGTTTAAAGCAACAAAATTTTGCATCTATCCAGAAGTGCTATAAAGTATATATTTATTTACATGCACACAGAGACTATGTATGAATTGTACTATATTCGGTATATATAATCTGAGAGTAATTGTAAGAGGCTATAAAATAAATATGAAAACTATATACAGATTATACAGCAAAGT